GCAAATCCCCGTTACTTAGAGAGACCAGGAACACTGACTACTCCCAGACAGGAGGAGTGCTGTGCTGATGCGAGCCAAAGGATGCATTTGCTGTGGAGAAGAGATTTGGGGTTGAGCTTTGAGCAGTTGTTGTCAGCAGAGAAGTTATACAGCCTGAGGAAGGTTCCCTGGGTGATGTTTTAGCCTGGATGATGAGACCGTTTCAGACTCCCTGTAACTGGGATTTAGATACAGATCCCAGGAAAAGACTGTCCTTATTGTCATTTGTTTTCCTTTCCATAACTTTCTCAGCCGGCTAAATTGTGAATGTCCAGCTCTCATATAAACGCCATCTGAGTCTGGAAATCCCCCCAAACTCGGGGATGCTGAGTGGGCAGAGAAGACAGTAGTCCCTTGTCCTTGACCCTAGAGCTACCACTGCCTGCATTCTGTGGGATCAGAAGAACTATTTTCTGGTTGACATGATGAGAAAAAGCTAACATGAGAAATTTGTGCTTCAAAGCAGAAAGACCACATGAGTCCCAGGACCTAGAGTTATGTGAATTCAGAAATGTGAAATAATTCTGGAAACAAAAACAGACAATCTACTCTCCAATACTGCACAAGGCTCTTTTTTATAAAGAATTACTTTATGAGGTTAAAAATAACAAAAATCATACTTTCACAAAATATGGAATACTTAGTTCAAGACCGAAATGGGGAGGGTAGGGGGAAAGATTTGCATTGGCTGAATTTTAACCTATAAATCACAAGAAATAAGCAGAGAATTTAATCCAAACACGTGCTGCACACAGTTTCCCCCAGGCTTGTGTTACCGAGATTGGAGCTGTGGCAGAGTACACTGGTGAGAAAGCACGCACCAAAAGTCGCTGACCTCTGCCCCCTTAGACCTCACGTGCTTTCCTCGTAGCTACGGCCGAAGCCTGCACGTGCCATGATGGAAACTTCAGAGGAAAGTCAGGAACTTAATGGTGAGAGTTGAGGAGTGTGAAGCCGCGCTTTGCCCATGTTTCAGGAACTCCCACAAAGCGTCTTCCTCTTGCTGTTGACTCAGTCAGACGCCTGGATGTTCTGCGGTTGTGTTGTCCTGAATAATGCAAATTTGCTAAGATTGCAAGAAATTCTAACAGCGACACCAGACCAGTGGAAACCGATGTCTTTGCCCAACATCACCAGCACAGTCTCATTTACTCCTTTAGCCGACACTAGTAGATGTTGCTGGTGCTCACCCATGTCCTTTGTCCCTTGCCACTGATTGTCCCCCCAGCAGACTTCACCAGCTACTATCCAGCTCTCTTTACCTGTGGGATGTCCCCAGAGCCGCTCTGCTTGCCCTGACATCAGTCAGCTGGCTGAGGACTTGGGGCTCCCTGGACCAAGGAGAAGTTCCTTATAAAAGTCTTGCTCTTCCTCATGGGCGAGGTGCTCTGGGCAGTGTTTCCAGCCTGTTTTCCAGCATCCTTGTGGGACTGAGCTCCAGGGCTCCTGGTGTCGATTGATTTGATTGGTTGCCATCCCTTCTCTGCGTTCTTCCTCTCTGCTCTTGTGTTTCCCACGCTTCCCAAGTAAACGACCTTTGCCACGTCCTCACTTGGTGTCTGCTTCTGGGGAGCCCCGACCCCTACTCTGCACCAGGCACTGAGCCAGGAATTCATTGTCTGAAGAACCAGCGCATTACCAGACCTCAGACACCGGCGACAGGCTGGCGGGGAGACATTGGTTGGGAGTTTGAGCGTCTAGTCTAACAACTTACCTCATAGAATTAGTGTGAGGTTTAAGCTTGTAAAACTCTTAAAATAGTGCCTGGCATATACTAGCAACGAAGTAATTATTAGCTATTATATTTATTGCTCTGATGAGCTAAGGCATTGAGTGTTTAGCAGCTCCTTGTTAAAATATCAATCCCAAGCAAAAGGAGCACATTCAGCTCTGAAAGAGGAAGAGACTTGCTGTTGCTTGACCTTGAGGGGATGAGACAAAAGCAAGGTAAACCTTACAGGTGGCAGGGGGAGGAAAGGGATGATTGGCAGGAGGATGGGAGCAGGAAACAGCCCAGTGGGGCCTCTTAAGAGACCAGGACTCTCTGTCCTGGGGCTCCCGACTGCCTGGGTAGAGGGGGACATACTAAAGCAGGTGCACCCACACTGCTCTGAGTCCAAAGCCCACCGGAGTACAGTGGGAGTGTGGAGGATCCCACTCATTCATGTACTCAGTTATCATTTTAATGCATTTATTCAACATATTTTCATTTAAATTGGAGTTGCAAAGGTCATAGAGGATTCCTAGTAGGAGCGCGTATGTTTATAAACGAGTAGTGCGAGAGGAAATATTGGAAGTGCTTTGGAAGAACACCTGTGAATATCACACACTGGTGGATGGCTCCTTCTGCCCTGGGAGCCAGGACAGAGCGGTTAGGGAAGAGGGACTGCTAGGCTGAATGTTAACAGACAACTGACTCTACAGCCCATGCTGTCTTTACTTCACCCCATTTCCCTACTTATGTTTAGATCTGGACGTCTGTGAAGGCCTCAGCTGCTCACAGGCAGAGCTTTTGGAAGGTGATTGTATTAAATGGGTGATATAGCTGTTGGGAGGTCAGGTCTGGTGGGAAGAGAAGCATCTTTGGGGCATAGCCTTGAAGGGTTTATCTCCCTTTCCGCTGTCCCCTTCTCTCTCTGCTTTCTAGCTGCCATGATGTAAATGGCTCTTCTCCCTCCAGGCCCTTCACCCATGCCACTTCTTCCAGGATCTGGCTGAGTATAAACTGAAACTCCTAAGAACTGTGAGCCAAAATAAACCTCCCCTCCTTTAAATTGTATACATGGGGCATTATGTTCTATTGACAAAGAAAGTGACTAAGACAGATGGTAGTACCAGAAAAGTGGAGTCATTGCTATTAACTACCTGACCATCTGGTTCAGAAGCCTTTGGAAATGGTTCCTGGAAGGAATTTGAAAGGGTTTTGAGATGCTCACTAGAGCAATCCTAGAATGCTGTAATCCAAGCTTGATGGGAGATTCAAGCCAGGCCTCAAAAGACAAGAATACTGATAAAAAGGCAGATGATAAAGATGAAGCTCAGGATGTTTCAGTAGGAAACAAAGACTTTATTGGCAGTTGGATTCTAGGCCATGTATTCTATGCTCATGCAGAAAGTGTATCTACATTTTGCTCAAGTCCTGAGTCTTTGTGGGAGGCTAAGATTAAGGGTGATGGACTAACTAAACTGGTGAAGGAATGTTTAGGGCAGCCCAGTGTTGAAGTTGTGGCATGGGTACATTTGGAAGCTTTTAGCCAGACCTATCATAAGAAACAGTAGCAATGAACAGAGGTGAATAATTTGAAATTTTTTGCTGGTGGCTGGAAAGGAAGCACCTGTGGAGCCTGTAAAGTGTAGTTCAAAGTGAGCTTGGTTGCTAAAATTATTCACAACAGGCAGAAGCCAAGTGCTTTACATCGGGACAATAGCAAGGATATCGTGAGGACCCTATCCTCCTCAGGCTCAAGGGTCCAAAAGTGAAAGACTTTGCTTTAAGAAGAGAGGGAACCCAGCTTATTCAGTGTCCACCAGAAAAGAGTTTCTATGAGCTCAGCCATCCAAACACTCAGAAGCTTCTGCATCTATCATTCAAGGGGGCCTGGCCACTAAAGCTGACAACAGGTCTTGCTGTCATCCACGTGGTGCTGGTTTTATGGACATGCAAAATGTAAGAACTGTGGGGTCGGAGAAACTTCCACCAAGATTTCAAAAGAAGGCCTTAGAGGAGAAGGCAGTGAGCTCCTGAGAGGGAAGTATGTGAAGCTCTGAGAGTGAAGCCAAAAGTGCAGTAGAGGCGCCAGGAAATTGGAAAAGCCAAGAACATGAAATGTCTGCTGAGAAATATTACAGAGAGTGAACAAAGCCTCCCTGAGAGAGGCCATGAGGGCTACAACTGGCAATGTCATAGGGGCAGGATTGTCCAAGCCCTTTGGATTATATCTCACCACAGCTTGCCCTGGGTGCTGGACATGGAGCTATATGATTTAACGTTTCCCTGCTGAGGTCAGTCCTGCGTTGGTACCATTTTTTCCTATCCCTCATTTCTCCCTTCTGAAATGGGAATGTTTACCCTGTGCTATTGTATGTCAACAGTGTTTAACTTGCTTTTTAATTATTATAGGAGCTCACAGCTAAGAATTTGCTTTAAGACTCAATGGAGACTTTGAGCTTGGACTTTTCATCACTGCTGGAACTGTTAAGTCTTTGGTGGTTCTTAGAGATGGATTAAGTGGATTTTGCATAAAGGGATATTCATGAGTCTTTTGGGGGTCAGGGGAAGAAGTTATGGTTTGGATTAAGCATGTCCCCCAAGGCCTTTTGCACTCAGAGGTAGGGCCTTTAGAAAGTGCTTGAATTATGGTAATGATATAGCTAACTTGCTGTTAGGATGTGGGACTGGTGGGCATAGGTGGGTTATTGTGGGTATAACCTCAAAGGGTTCACCTCCATTCCTGGCTCTTCCCTTCTCTCTCTGCTTCCTACCTGCCATGATGTGAGCAGCTGTCTTCCACCCAGGACTTTTCCATGCCACTTTTGCCTGGAGTTCCTGCCTATGGAATGAAACTTCTGCAAGCTGTGAACCAAAATACATTTCTCCTCTAAGTTGTAGGTGCTGGGTTTTGTGTCCTCATGGTGAGGAGAGTGACTAAGGTACCTCCCTACTGCTGGGATATGGATGAGTCACTTCATCTCTTTGAACTTCATTTGGGTTCTTTCCCCAGAGCATGAGGCTCCTGGCCCTAAATTCACAAGGCTGCAGATGGATGGCATGTGAATGTGATCAGCAGCAGCTTCTCACATGGCAGTTTCTTTCCTCTTCCCGCTGAGAGTCTGAAATGAGCAAGAGGCAACTAAGCAAACGACCTCTCAACATAAGGACCACAGGACTTCTTAACACACAATTTCAACAACATACCAGCCACCCTGGCCGAGAGACCCCTGACACAGGCTATGTCAGAACAACAGCAGGAAGCATAGAAGGTACTGGGGGTGAGCATTAGAGCAAAGTGCCCTGGTCCAAACCTTGGGTTCATTCCTTCTTAGTATGCCATCTTGGGCAAGTTCCTCAACTCTGTGAGCTTCAGCTACTTCATCTAGGCCATGTGGTACCAAAGATTAAGTAATAATCTTAATAGTTCTCACTTCCTAGAGTGGTTAGAAGGATGATGTGAGATCATAAAAGTGCCTGACATACAGTAAATGCCTGATAGATGTGGTTATTCTTTGGAGGGAGGCAAAATTATCTTGACAAGAGGAATCATCCAACTTGATTCCTAACTTCTACATCTTAATAACTATCATTGAAAAATCTAGGATTGTTCCTGAGTGGTCAACCTTTTAGACTCAGGGTGTCCTGTGTTCTGACTCATGAGCAATGCCTGGGCTTTTGCTCCATGTGCTGAAGGTTGCTTATTCCGACACCTGTTACCACCTGCCTGAGAGGATGAAAACTTACCGTGCACATCTGGCTGCTGAATGTGTCCTTGGCCAATGACAGAACTGAGTTTAAGGATGAGTGCTCTGACTTTCGTGTCTCTCATTAGGAGTTGGTTCTGGGATGTTTCTACAATGACCCTAGTGAATTGAGTTTCACTTGCCTGTGCTAGTACCTAGCTGAACAACACGCCCTTCTTCCATTTCCTTCTTTCCCTTCTCTAGCTCATGCTCCCATTTCCTACCAGTATACTGCAGGATTGCACTGAAATCCTTCATTCTGGATCTCTTTCTGGGAGAGCCCAAGCTAAGATACCCATGGACATGTCCCTCTATGCAGGTTCAGCATGAGCCAAATGAAGTGCAAGGTCACACGCTACCTGTGTGCAATCAGAACTGTCTAGACAGCCACTCAGGTCCAAGCACATTTTTGCTTGCTTGAATTATTTGGGTTGGCTTCCCCAGGCAGTCCTGGACTCCCTCCAAAATTCTTCCAGCCCCCGCTTTCCTTTAGTTTTGGAGACTTAACCTCCAAAGCTGGCAGTCTCAGATGGGAACAACACAGGTTTCTGTGAAGGACGAACATGGACTGTGGCTGTGAATAAACTCAGGGTAGAGAGGCAGCTTTTCTCTCCTTCTCTAGCTAAAGCAACAAGGCCCTCCCATCACCTCTGAGCCCAGACATGAGGCACAAACTGTTATTTCTCTGGAATCAGTGCCATTGTCGCAGGTGAGCCATAAACATGGGTTAGAGGTACGCATGGAAATGCAGACAGGGTGTCACCACTGGACACCTTGTGTCTGTACCTCACAGCTGGGCTCCAAGTTATTCCTGTGCTCAGCAGAGCTGCTGTGATTCATGCATGCATCATAGTGCCCGGTCTTTGGGGGGAGTCTGCCAGCTGCGCAGATGAGATCGCCAGCTCCATTGATCCCAAGTTCAGAGGTGGGAGGGAGATTGGGCAACAAGAGCCCTTCCGAGCTCTCTGTCCCTGTCAACAAGAGAGGAAGGGATAGGAGCCAGCAGCTCAGCACTGGAGAAAAGATATTGTAAGCCATTATCCTCACTTTTTGTTTCTATACTTTATAGGAATCCATGGCTTTTCCTCTAATTGCTCAAAAACATCCAGCTTGCTTCAGGGAGTCCTGAAAGTGTTACAGCCGAAACTGAAAGTGAGACCACTCAAAGTTTAGTTTTGCTTCAAGAGGTCAAAACCCACATCACAAATGCTAATTTAGAAAGCAAAAACCTTTGATCTGGGAAGCCCAGATTTATCAAAAGCAAACAGATCTTTGATCGTGAGGGTACTGGGAGTAGAATGGAGACTGCATGAGAATCCGAGTTGCAGTGCAGAGAGGAAGTCTGGGACCGGTGCTCACCACGCTCCGGGGACCCGCTAAAGGGCAGCATTACCCGCTCATGTCTCCTTTGAAGAGCGACGGGTTCCAGCACCGGTGAGGGGAGCCTGGGTCTCAGGAGGTTCTTGCTATAGCTACTTGTCCCTCCACTTCCGCTGGAAAGACTCCCACTCACGCACTAGAGTTATGTGGATTCCCAGCCCCCTGCCCTCTGTGAGCATGTACACCACTCTTAGTGACCAAGGAGCCTTTCAAATCTCCTGAAATATATTGCTGGTGAGGAGGGGATATCCTTGATACCCAGTGAGGAAATGTCTATTGCTCTTGGAGATATGAGACCCATCCCTGTTACAAAAGATTTCATTTGAGTAAACCCTTCTGTGCTTAAGGTCCTTCGAAAGACTTTTGGTTTCACATGCAAAGTATGAAGGTTTACTCTCATCTTTCCTGGAACAAACTGGTGACCAAACTGAAGAGGAAAGACTTTTCTTACACCCATCAGAGAGCTGACATATGGAGAGTTCTTTGGAATCCCAAAGACAACAAAATGAAGAGAAGTGAACTAGAGAAATTGGAAGTCCAAAGCATCTACAGCTATAGTGAACATTCAATTCAGTCCCATTCAGTCCGCATTCAGAAGATGTACAAGAGTCCCTTGTACATCTTCCCACCAGAGGCCTGGTTACCTTGGATACAATTACAACATACCCAACTTTCTACAAAAAGTTACAAAGCACTCTAAAAAGCAAGAAAAAACTCACTATGTTTAGAGTCAAACTAAGCATCTTCGGCACAGAAGAACATAAATTTTTGGAATTACGAGCTAGGTGATCAAAGTCCACTTCCACAGTGCTGAGTCATGATGAAATCATGCAACCTTGGAACCATGTGATGGCAGCAGGACTTCTCCTCTGCATTCTTCACCAAGAAACACATCACTCCAGTCCAATTTGAGGAAAACATCGTCTACTACCATATCGAGGGACAGTCTACAAAATACCTGACTAGAGCTCTTCAAAACCGTCAAGGCCACCAAAAACAAGAAAATCTGAGATACTCAGCAAGAGGGACCCAGGAGACAAGACTATTAAATTAATGTGGTACTATCAATTTTTTTTTTATTTTAAAGATAAAAGGAGGGAAACATTAACAGACATACAACATTTTACAACATATCACAAGCACAATACAGACAATACAGAGTTACAAACAAAGTAGTAGGGAATTAACAATGGTGGTCGTATTACATATTGATATCTTCAAAGTGGCTTCTCATGAATGTGGTACTATCAATTAATAGAATCCTGGGACAGAAAAAGGACATTAGGTAAAAACTAAAGAAATCTGAATAAAACAATGAACTTTAGTTAGTAATTATTTATAAACATTGGCTCATTAATTGTTAACAAGTATGCCAGGAAAATGTTTAAGTTTTAGTAATAGGGGAAATTGGGTGAAGGGTTTACGAGAACTCTTGGTACTATATTTATAATTTTTCTGTAAATCTAAAGCTGTTCTAAAAATAAGGTAAAAAGTATTTGACATCTAGGCCACTGATCACCGAGGTATTTTTAGCTCTACTAAAATTCATGTTTTGTTTTGACTGTTCTGTCTAGGAAACCCAGAGGCCCAACTTCTCCCTGACCCATTCCAAGAGCCCTGGAGTGAAACAGGACCATAGAACATGAGCTCCGGTGCCAGGGATGAAGACACTGCCACCACGAAATTCCAGAGGCAGGAAGTTGTGGTGTTTAAGAGCAGAGTCACCATGATTTATTAGCTGAGTGACCATTGCAAGTTCCTTCACCTTTCTAGGTCCCTGTTTTTCACCTGTAAAATGTATAGATAAAAATAAGAATACCTAGGTTATAATCCTGACCAGAATTACCTGAATCAGACCCTGTGCAGTGCTTGTAACGGAGTCTGGGGTGTGGTGAGAGCTATGCATAGTGATGGGAACTAAGTCAAGGACTCATCTGAAATCAGCAATCCAGGGGCAGCAGTAAGGGTGGTGGACAGCATACGGCAGTTTGTGTGCTATTTTTCCACTCAAACAATGCAAAACTCAAATCCCCACAATTTTGCCGAACATTTGTTTAATACTAAGTGAGCAAATTTTATTTGTCTGGTTTTGTACCAATCACTTCACATGTGTTTACTGCATTCAATCATTACTAGGTCACAGTTTCTTTCTTTCTTTCTTTTTTTCTTTTTTTACATTTGTGTGTGTGTATGTGTGTGTGGTGCTGGAGATCAAACCCAGGGCACTGTGCATACGAGGCAAGAGCTCGACCACTGAGCCACATCCCCAGCCCTCAGTCACAGTTTCTATGCCTCCCTTTCTTTCATTTTAATAACCATGCTTATGGTTTGTGCCTGGATGTGCCCCCAAAGCCTCATGCAGTCATGGGATGGGCTTTTAGAGTCTATGATTGATCCATGGTCCAATGCTGGGGTTATGGATGTGAGTGCTACACCTGCCCTGGGGCTGACAATTTGCATATGTAAGGGAAAGAAAGAGGCTTCTTGCTGCCATTCCTCCCTTTTGCTCTTGTTGCTTTTGCTGTCTTCCGCCATCATGAACGGTTGCGCCCTGCCATGTGCCACTCTGTCTTGAAGCCAGCTGAGTATGGACTGAAACCTCCACAGACTGTGAGCTGAATAAACCTTTCGTTCCTTAATTTTGGGTGTCAGATACTTTGTCTCAGCAATGAGAGAAAAGTAACCAAGACCTCCTGAAAGGCTGTGCAGCCCATAATGAACCTTCCTGGACCATCCCTGAACCCAGGCTGCTCCAAAATGCCCACCTTTCCCTGGTGTGAGTGGATCTAACATCCACCAGGCGTCCCTCTGTGACGAGTCTGCGCTGCTGGCTGTGGTCCTCTTCCCAGCCACAGGCCTCAGAGGAGGGTCTTCCACCCTCTAATCCCACTTTGCTAGTCTTTATTTTTTTTATTTTTAAAAATTAAAAAACTGACAAAACAACAATGAAGACAAAATCAGGACAACACAAAAACAACAAAAATGAAACATGACTTCAAGACAAAATGGTAGAAATTTATAGTGGTTGCTAAATTACATGCTGTTATCTTCAACAAAGTTGTTCAGTCCATTGGACATAAAATGTAAGACTGATCAATCAATCAAAGACAGTAACAAGTAAGAAACAGTAATTAAAAAAAAACATTGGAAATGATGCAGAGCTTCACCATACAAAACGATAGGAGTTCAACAATAGTTCTTATACAGTACCTTGTTTTCAGATCAATTACCAAATTCAAGAGCACTTTGCTAGTCTTGGTGTCTGGAAAGCAATTTGGATGTCTGTAATGTGTAAAGCTACCCAGAGGAAAAATAAAAAGTCATCATCAAGTAATGAGACCAGACTATAGGGTGTCTCATATCCTGGTTCCAAACGCAGATGTCAAAGGTTCAGAAAAGACTGCAACAAAAGCATCGTTGTTGGAATAAGTGACAGTTGCCATGGTGACTGCTAGGGTCTGGGTGGTTGTCCCACCAAACTCCTGATGGAACTTAATCTCCAGTGTCATATGTTAATGATGTTTGGAAGTGGGACCATTGAGGGATGATGAGGATTAGATGACATCTTAGAGGTAAAGTCCCTGCCATGGCATTAGTTTTTTATAATAAGCTGGGTATAGTGGTCCATGCCTATAAACCCAGCACTCGGGAGGCTGAGGCAGGAGGATCCAATGTGAGAGCCCAGTCCGAGCAACTAGATGACTGCATCTCCTCCCAAAATTAGACAAGTTAAAAAGGGGCTGAGGATGCAGCTTAATGTGAGCACCCTGGTTCCCAGTCCCAGTACAGGTGTTCCTCGTTTAATGACTGAGTTCTGTTCTTGAAACTTGGTCATTAATTGAACCCGCTGCTATTGTATCCAGCATGCATGCATATTATAATATTCAGGACAAAGAAGTGATCAAAGGAAACTCCAACTTCATGACTTTGCATTTATTTGCACAACTCTTACATGTACTACTGTAATGTATGAGAGAACATAAAACTGCACAACTGTACTGTTAAGAGCAATCAGCAACAATTACAGCACTGTATAAACAAGGTGCACTGTACTAAAGAAGACTTTGAGGCTCTCTAAGCAGGATGTACAGAAGTGTACAGAAAACAAAAAGAACACAGCTCATAAGCCTGAGCAGTGGGTTGTAGGTCAAAGCAGTTGTTAAACAGATTGGTTTTTAAATGAGGAAATCTGTACTGTCAAAAAGTAGAAGAAAAAGGAGGAGGAGGAAGAGAAAGAGGAGAAGGAGAGGAAGAAGAAGACAAGCTGAACACCCGACAAGCGCATCTGCTCGGTCTTGCTGTGTGATGCTCCCGACTGACTGCCTTCTGATGTGGTAGGAAGGCTCCCTAGCTGCCCGCCGTGTGCCTGACTCTCCAGACCCTGAACCAGGAGCTAAATAAAGCTCTGTACTTTATGAATCTCCCAGTGCATGGCATCCAGTTGCAGCAACAGAGATTGGACTAAGGCAAGAGCCAACCCCTGTTCAGACGTGTGGGACCTGGTGTTCATAGTCAGTCTCGTTTTTTGTCGTGGCTGGTATCTCCAACCTGGCTGATGACTTGAGAGGACCATCTAACAACACATTGCTCGATTCATTGAGAATTTTTTTTTTTTTTTGTCTTTTTGAGACAGGGTCTTGTTATGCAGTTCAGGCTGGTCTTGAGCTCACTTTGTAGCCCAGGCTGGCCTCGAACTTGCAACCATCCTCCTGCCTGAGCCTCTTGAGTGCTGGGATTACAGGTGTGCTCCACCATGCCCACCCTTTGAGAATTTTTAATCCTAAAGCTGGCTCAACAAATAATCCCAAATCCTAACACATCACATTCTGCCTGAGGAAGCAACATCTCTGCATTTTAGGGATGTCATGGGCTGGACCAGTGACAAGGTCTGCTTGATTCCACTCCCTAATTACTGCCTTATCTCCCCCTTTGTCTGCCTCAGGCTTTCCACATGTTTTTACCTATGCTGATGTAGTCACTTCTTCATTGTCTTTCTGTCCCCAATCTGACTATTCCTCATATCACTTCCCAAGTGACATTTTGGAGACACCATAAATGTACACTGATATTTATGTAATTGGCATTCTCTGAGGCCTTTCACGCTGTATGAAGATGTCCATGCTGGCTGGTCTTTCTCTGCAGAGAGAAGCTGCACAATGCTCAATTGCTCGACAAGAGAAAGGGGAAGAGATGATGGGGAGCGGGGAGGGAGGCATGATTCCTGAATAAAGACCTAGATTCCTAGAGACCAAAGGCTTTTCCAGGAAAGAAGGAGCCCAGAGAGATGAGGATACCACTGACACCCGAAAGAGGGATTGGGGAACAGGGCATATGGGGAGTGAGATTCGGTGCACTCCGAAATGTGACTCCCTCTTGGTCCGCACATAAAGCCTCAGTTTCTGCCTCACCATGGACATCTCTGCATTGTGCAGTGGTACAGAAGTGCTACATCTCCACTGGTGCTTTGTGGAGAGCATTGCTGCTGTGTGGTCACGCTGCAGGAACAGAATGACGTCACCCCAAGCAAGGCAGGGTGCAGCTCACCGGTGTCCCGGGTTCTCCGCTCCTCTAAGCCTTCTGTCCCTTGGGGTGATGATGAGGCCCCAAAACATTTCAACACGGAACTCCTGTCCTTCCTGTCCAACTGCATCTTATAAGAACATCTTCTCAGTCGCACACACATGCAGAGATGTATAGGTACAAATGTGCACACACACATACTTACACACATTTGCACTTTCCACCCCAGAGCTCTGACCTATAATTCTAACAAAAACTGCTGTGATGGTACACGTTACATCACCTTGACAGGACTCTTCTTTTCCTGTTCCTGTTCAATTACAGCATACCTCCTCCTTCCTGCTCTAGTAGACTTGGGTGTACCTTCTTCCAGCTCCCATTTGGCCTTGGAGGCACACACTTGTGGTATGTCATCACATGGCTGTGTAACTGCATGTTTGCATACCCCTCTCACTCATGTGGGTATGAGCCCTATAAGCGAGGTATAGTTTTATCTCTGAAATACTTCTTTTTTTTTTTCTGGTATCAGGAATTGAACTCAGGACCTTGAGTTTGCCAGGCAGGTGCTGTGCCACTGAGCTACGTCCCTGGTGGTATACTTGTATACTTAGCAAACCTTAAGAGATTGAGTCTGATGTCTGATGAATATGTTTATCTTCTATGGCTTGTATGTGTTCTACAGAGAGGGTGCAAAAGGAAAACCACCTACTAAGAAGAGAAGAAGCATCTTCTCTGGTTCCCTAGAGAATTGCCTAATACTTACACTCCCTCTTGTGAAGCCCGTTAGTTTGGTGGTCTTCCGCAAACCATCATTCTCAGTGGTCAAGCCCTCATGTCAGCTTTTCCAATGCTAACGCTAGGGTTGGCCATGGGACCAGCTTTGGCAGGGGACATTGTGAGCACCATGTAAATGTGTGATAAGTGCTTGTACATTGGGATGTCAACTTGGGGTGCTCCTTCTCAGGCCCAAGATGCCATGTTATAAGGCAGCCCGCGCGGTAAGGCCCAAGTGGGAAAGAACTAAAGGCTGTGATGAAGTCCCAGGTGAATGTCCCATCCATATCTGCCATGCTGGGAACATCTGGACCTTCTGCACCCTCACTCAGTGCCTTACGCATTACTACCTGGAACATAAGAACAGAAGAACTGTACACAGAGTTGAGGAAAGTAAGTTATTCTTTTATGAAATCAAAGTTTAATGTGGTTTGCTGTACAGCAGTAGAAAACAAAAATATCTCTCTGGTCAATATCAGGTTAATAATATCCCTTAGTTACTGCAAGCTGATCATGTCTGCAATCTCCTGAATGAGTGTACAGCAAAGGCTAAATAAAGAGGCAAATGGAATGAGTTCAGGACTCCAGGAGGATCAAAGCCCTCTCACAGAATTTGAGGTTTTCAGGGCTATGACCAAGACCTTCTCTGGGTGGCCCATATTTATTTGGTTATCAGAAGAGAAAGGGGAGTACTCAAAAAGAGGGGAATTCCTCAAGGACTTCTCCAAGTAAGGTATTAAGTTAATCCACCCAGGAGGATGCCTGAGGCCACAGTCTTTATCTAGTTGAGGTTGGATCCAGGTGTCCTTGGCTGTGATCTTGTCTTATCCTTTAAGGTTTTCTGGCTTTATCCACCATAACAGGCTTTGGTAGGGACTGGTGATTCATGGGGGTTCACTTACTATGAGTACACCATCCATTTCCAGACAAGAAGCCCAGGCCTTGGATAGACTCACAAGTGAACATGAAAAGCCAATTGGTTAATTTAAATCTTGCTCAGGTCTGCTTCCCAG